CAGGGCCAACGGGCTGAAGTCGTGCGTCATCGTGATCCGAGTGCTGCGGGACCTCTGCACCCGCGTCCCCACCTGGGCCCCGCTCCGAGGATGGGTAATTCCCTCCCTTCTCCCCTTCCCGGGGTGGGAGGGGGGCTGCCAGCGTTTCTCCCAGCTGAAGGTCAGCTCTCCTCTTTCCCAAGTTTCCAAGGCACGGCCCCTTTCCCAGGTTTCTACGGACGAGCGACGTGTCCGCCCTGAAAGGCGCAGAGCGGGTGTTGTGCAGTGCCAGTCAGCCACCAGCACGGCGTTAATTGGCTTATTAATTACACTTCACATTGTTAATTGGCCTTATCAATGACCCACCACATTTTTAATTCCCTTATCAATGACCCACCACATTGCTATTGACCTTATCAATTACACTTCACATTTTTTAATTGCCTTATCAATGACCCTTTTCATTTTTAATTGCCTTATCAATTACCCACCACATTGTTATTGGCCTTATCAATTACCCTCCACATTGTTATTGGCCTTATCAATGACCCACCACATTTTTAATTGCTTTATCAATTACCCTTCACATTTTTAATTCCCTTATCAATGACTCATCACATTGTTATTGGCCTTATCAATTACCCTTCACATTTTTAGTTGCCTTATCAATGACCCATTGCATTTTTAATTGCCTTATCAATGACCCACCCCATTGTTAATTGCCTTATCAATGACCCATCACATTGTTATTGGCCTTATCAATTACACTTCGCATTTTTAATTGCCTTATCAATGACCCACCACATTTTTAGTTGCCTTATCAGTGACCCATTGCATTTTTAATTGCCTTATCAATGACCCACCACATTGTTAATTGCCTTATCAGTAGTCAGTCACATTAATTGCTTTAGCAGTTATTCACTCAGGTTGGTATCAAACTGCTTTATTAATTACCCACTCACATCATTATCCAGTTGCTTTATCAATTACTCATTCCTGTTATTATCAAATGGCTTTATCAGTTCTCAACCCACGTTATTATTGAGTTGTTTTCTCAGTTGCTGAACCACATTATTATCAATCGAAACATCTTATCAGTTATCAAATCCCATTGGTGGGGGTTTTATCAGCTGTAAAATCTCGTTAGCAGCAAATTGTTTTATCAATTATCAAACCATTGTCGTTGGCAAGTGGCTTTATCAGTTATCAAATATCAATTATCAAATCACATGATTGCAAAGTAATTTCCATAAGTTTCCAAGTCACATTATCAAATGGTTTTATCAATAAGTATCAATTATTTTAATGGCATTATTACGAAATATTTCTGTCAGTTATCAAGTCATGTTATCAAATAGTTTTATCAATTATCAAATAATTTTATCAGTTATCAAACCAGGCCATTCTCAGATCACATTAGCAACTTGTTCTATCAATTATCAATTAATTATCACCTTAACCCATTGTTTTACCAGTTATCAAACAGCCTGGTGCCATCAGCTCGTTATATTAATGATCTAATCACGTTGTTATCAAACTGTTTTTACCAATTCCCGATTTCCACAGCCTGACTCCTCTACTCTGGGAACTGGAAGCTGCTCCATGCTGGGTCCCTTTCCTGGAGTCCCTTTCCTGGGTCCTTTTCCCAGGGTCCCTCTCCCAGGATTCCTCTCCCAGGATCCCTCTCCGAGGTCCCTCTCCTGGGATTCCTCACCCTGGATCCCTCTCCGGGGTCCCTCTCCTGGGATTCCTCACCCAGGATCCCTCTCTGGGGTCCCTCTCCCAGGATCCCTCTCTGGGATCTCTCCCCTGGAGTCCCTCTCCAGGGTCCCTCTCCCAGGATCCCTGTCTGAGGTCCCTCTCCCAGGATCCCTCTCCGGGGTCCCTCTCTAGGATTCCTCACCCTGGATCCCTCTCTGAGCTCCCTCTCCAGGGATTCCTCTCCTAGGATCCCTCTCTGGGGTCCCTCTCCTGAGATTCCTCACCCTGGATCCCTCTCTGGGGTCCCTCTCCCAGGATTCCTCTTCCTGGATCCTTCTCTGAGGTCCCTCACCCAGGATCCCTCTCCGGGGTCCCTCTCCCAGGATTCCTCACCCAGGATCCCTCTCTGAGGTCCCTCTCCCAGGATCCTTATCCGGGATTCTTCTCCCAGGATCCCTCTTGGGGGTCCCTCTCTAGGATTTCTCACCCAGGATCCCTCTCCGGGATCTCTCTCCCAGGATCCTTCTCTGAGGTCCCTCTCCCAGGATCCCTCTCTGGGATCCCTTCCCTGGAGTCCCTCTCCCAGGATCCCTCTCTGTGATCCCTCTCCCAGGATCCGTCTTCTGGGGTCCCTCTCCAGGGTCCCTCTCCCAGGATCCCTCTCCAGAGTCCCTCTCCCAGGATCCCCCTCCAGGGTCGCTCTCCCAGGATCCCTCTCCAGGATCCCTCTCTGAGGTCCCTCTCCTGGGGTCCCTCTCCCAGGATTCCTTTCTGGAGTCCCTCTCCCAGGATCCCTCTCCAGGTCCCTCTGTGAGGTCCCTCCCAGAGTCCCTCTCCCAGGATCCCTCCCTGAGGTCCCTCTCCCAGGATCCCTCTCTGGGATCCCTCCCCTGGAGTCCCTCTCCCAGGATCCCTTTCTGGGGTCCCTCTCTCAGGATTCCTCTCCCAGGATTCCTTTCCAGAGTCCCTCTCCCAGGATCCCTCTCCCAG